TGCCTTAACAGGAGGCTCTGGGGAAGTCAATATTAACAAAAACTGCAGCAAGGGGGAGGTGGAAAGGAAAAAAAAATGTGAGAGCTGACTGGCCAACTTATGGTCATTTCCGGGTGACTTGCTTCCTCAAAGGTCACCCCATGAATGTTCATTCTTCCTCCAGCTTGTACTGATTATCTTGAGAGAAGGTCGATGTTGATAAAGGGAGACACAATAAAATAAATTGTTATCCAGGTTCTCCCTTGTGTGTTACCACTCTAACACAGCACATACCGTATTAATTCTGTTTCATCCACTGTAGGTGAACAAGTTTCTTTGAAAATGAACCAAAACCAAAACTGTATAAGGAACAAAATGGTCTAAGTATATCTTTAATCATCCATTGGGCAATAATCTATCCTACACTACATTTTTCAAAGGTGGTCTACCTTTTGCCACAGCTCAAGATGCCAGAATTACAGCTGGGTTTTTAGGCTGATCAAACTACTGCCACAGCCCTGTTTTCATTAGCTCAGTGTGAAATAATTTAGTTCCAGAGGAGACTACACAGAGGTAGAGAGGGAAGGAGGGAGGGGAAAGGGAGAAAGAGAGAAACAGAGAGAGAGAATGCCAGAGAGGACACATGCGTGTGAGAAAAGGAGCCGGACTCAAAGAATTGCAGCTTTCTAAAGAGAGATACGTTCTTTTGCAAATTTCAAGTATTTGGTTTTTAAATTTTAATGCAGAATTTTGTAATAGTGGTTTGAATGTATTTTTAAACTATATCAAGGCCGCAAAAGGACTCAGTCGTGGAAAGTGTCTGCAGTGCTTAAAAAATCTCAATTTACTTGTTAAAATGGATCTACTTCAGCACTGACTTAAGCATTTGAGGATAAAGCGACTCATATTCCTCTTTCTTAAAAATTAACTGATGAAAAAGACCACCACACTTTATTTTCCTAAAAAAAATAATTTAAAAAGTATTCTTTAAATTAGATCTTGCTAATAAAGAATTAAGGCAATTCATATGATTATTTAATATAGTACTTGAAAGCAAAAGTTGTGGCCAACTCACTATGCACAGCAATGAGGAATGTCAGATTAATCCCACACACTGTTTTAAAATTATTTCATAACCTTTGCCACAGTAATTAATGAGGTTAGTAAGATCAGAGATTAATGTACTTAAAGCAGCTTAGATGAATTTCAAATGTATGATAAGGAATACATGAAAGATGAACACTTTGCTAGTCTGAACAGTTTTCAAAGTGTGCAACTTTGATGGGTAGCCTGTATTCCATGGACTAAATATTTACTATAAAGACTCGAAAAATCTTAAGGATGGGAAAACAATTTACAGCATGTGTATCACATGGGAATCCACACTGCCAACCCTCTTCCCACATTTATAACTGCATGTAGAGCCAGAGGAAGCTACACAAATATGCTAAAACTTTTAACAGAGCACGCCTCCTCTTTTGCACACTCTCTACTTTCTTACAGGAGTCCTGGAGAATATTAGAAGTTTCCAGACTGCTGGACACGACTTTTTGAATGATTCCTACTGTCAGAGCTGAAGCTCTTCTGTTGTGCAAGACAGTGGATATTGCTCTTAGGATAGTGGTAAAAATAAGTAGAGATTTTGAGGGAGTTGCTTGGTGGTTCCCCAAATCTCACTGTTTTTTAAGTCCCTGAGAACTGGATTAAAATGTTTGAAAAGTCTGTAAGGCATTCCAAGCAGTAGCACAACAATCTGAAAAAAATGAGGTATTTGTATTAGCAGTAACAGTTCAGTTTCCTATCCTTTTGCAGAATGAACTTCAAGGCCTCAGGGAGAAGTTGGCCCTGATGTCATGGCATTGAGAAATGTAGTTCATTAAGATCTTAAGCAACAAACAACAGCAACAATTAGTTGCTATACTCATTCTTGATTTATCGCTAAGAAACACAGACTCTGCAAACAGAAAGGGCCTAAAGGGTCAACTAACACATTCTCTTGCCAATTCATGATTGTCCCTGACTCTTTTCCACTGCTTTGCCAATCTACTTACAAAAGAAACTTTAGAAATAAGGGGTTTACTACTTCCCCTTGTGAGGATATTCAAACTCAAAGAATACTCAATTTTACTTTAACTTTTCATACTTTGTTGCTTGGGTGAGCATTCTTCCACTCTGATCCCTTTCCTCTTTGTTCCTTGACAAACAATTCCTCTCTTTCATATGTTTCCATATTTCATAGCATTTATGTATCTTCACTCTTAGACATTAATTACCCCACACATACACACTTTTTTTCTACTTGTATCCAACTCCTTAAACACATTTGCTGCTCTTCTTATGGCTCTCTCCAGTTTGGGTACATACTTCCACTAGCTGGCTCCCGCAAAGAAAGCACTAAGCATTTTGCTTTATCCAGCATGAATGCATACTAAAAATTGGACAAGGAAAAGGAAAATAACTTGTGTTCTCCAAGAACATAATAGCTCTGAATGAATGACTAATCAGACTGTTTTAGGGGGAAATTAGATGCCATGAAATATTCTAGTTGCTATAATCTAAGGATAAAGCTTTGGTCTCATGATAAGCTTTCTATCATCCTGTTGATCTTACAGTTTCCTTGTTAAGCTTAAGACAAAACAGCAGTGCATTGACATATATTGCTTAGGCTACTGAAGTGTACCTCAGTGGACTTAACAGATGATGCAATACATTGAATGCTGGTATTAAATCTCCTCTAATTTCTACTTGTTTTTATTTTTTACCTTTTTTTTTTTTACTTAGATAGGTTATTAAGGTTTTCTATTTGTTTTAGCATCACTTAAAGATTCAGCTCATTTTTTGAATCTGCTTTTGTTTATCTATTTTTATGTTAAGCTGAATCAACCAATAATAAATCAACTCAAGGTTAGTTTCTAAACCCACCTTCCCTGTACCTTCATTGATTAATAAACACATATTTTAAGCAGCATGTTTAATCCCTAAAGTATTCCTGAACAGTCAGGTCAGGGAAAATATGGAGAAAACATTTATTGGCTAATAAATACCTCCTCTATGCCTTCCATATTAGATTTTTTGTAATGACTTAGATCCAAGAAGTATTTCTCTTTCGAATTGTGTCACTGAAATGTATATATATATAAATCTGACTCTGGGGCTCTACAGTAGATTGCCAAATGTATTCTGGAAGACACTGTTGGACAATCTTTCCCCCCAGTGTAACTCTGACCCTTAATTGTTACTATTTTTCCCATTATTCCCAAATCTCTTTTTTAAATTCAATGACATTAAAGTACATAGCTACCTTTTGCCTTCCTTTTCTGAAGGTATCTGTTTTTTTAATACCAATACATTTTGCAATGCAGCTGTTATCCATCCATAATTCCTTCATCCTTGTAATACCTGGTGGCAGCAGTTTAAATTACCCCACTTGGTTCACAAGGTTGCTGGTATTTTCATACAAACATTTCAGTTCTTTGTTTTACTGATAACTAATTTGGTTGCTAGTTTAGGAACAATCCTTTCACTAATTATATACCCTAGCTAAATACCATCTCTCCGTCTGTCCTCAGATATTCCTTTATCTTTTGCAATGCCTTGATGTATTTAACTGCCCTCCTCCTGTGTACTAAAGCCAGACAAGAAGATTACAGTCACTTCCAACTGTCTTCCCTTATTCCTCAGTTTAAGGCTCTTATCTTTTGTTTGAGCCTCACTCCTAGGAAGTCACTTTTGCAGATATTCTAGTGGAATTCCAGGAAAACGAGATTTCATTGAAAGGGAAAAATTAAAATGTCAGCACTTTGAACATATAACAAATATAGTAGATTTTACCTCAAATTCCTTCCAAATTAGGAAATTTCCTAATGCACTTAAAATATTGTGATAGCACTTAAAATATTATTGACTTCCAGAGGAACATGAATAGATATGAAATAGGTTGTAGGAGGCCCAGGTCAGTTTCTTTTCTCTAAAAAGTATTTTCTCCCACATGTTGAGATGGCTATACAATTTACAATTAGTTATTCTAACTAGTAACTAAATAATAACAACATGGTTTATCCACATACACTTCGGAAACTGCTAGGATTATTTATGGAAACATGAGCTCTGGAATAAAATAAATCAACAAATTTACTTTTTTTTTTTCAAGATAAGTAAAAAATATCATGGCAATATGACCTTGACTTTATAATTTCCTAGTATGAGTGGCAGTATAAAAATAGAAGAGAAACATATTCACTGTAAAAAAAGTTTATTTTAAAAAAGAGCAATTTTAGGTATAGTGCAGCCTTTGCCTACCTTATTACTAGAAAATGAGACTCGAGAAAGCACCATATTATTCAAAATATTACTAGATTTTGGGTTCTTTCTGATAAGGTTTCATGTATATGAACAATAGCCCTTTGTATTTAACAATAGGTAAGAAAAAACAACAGTAAAATCATCCTGCTCTCTGGCTGTTTCTGTATATCGTGTAGAAGTTGTTTTAATCTAATGTGTATTGTTGCATAATATCCCCAGGCACTTTCAAGTAAAAGCTAAAGCTGTACAGAAAAGCCAACATTTTAAATGGGTCTTGTCATTAATGCTTTATTAATTGCCCCAGGCAATGCAAACCCAGAGCTAGGCAAGCTATAACAATATGACACTTTAAGGTCAAATCCAATTCCTGCTGTGTTTTATAGAGTGGGCCAAATATTGAGTTAACAGCAGGAAAGAACAATTTATTGGGCTTTTCTCCATCTCCTGATTATCTGATCTAAATTAAATCAGTTAGGTTGTTTTTCTCTAAAAACAAAACACCTTTTGTCCACTCAGCTTCAAAGAATCTTTGATTGTTTCTGTTAGAACAATAAACTTTAGTAACATCTATTTATTTACACTGTACCTAGTATACTGAATACAAAGAAATTAAAATATATAAATATATAAAACCAAAATAAATATAGCATCCTCTTACCTAAAACTAAACACCACAAATGAAAATGCGGATTTATCTATTTATTTGATATATATGTTACCTTCACATCTGAGGTATCTCTTTGGCTGTTCCTCCACGACCTGGCTACTGAAGAGAAGGTTCGATCTGGGTGGTCAAACTTGCCATCATTTGCATTTAGAAAGAATGTTGTAAAGGGCTCCTGTAGTTAATGAAATTAAGACAGATTAAGAAAACAGTACAAGGAATCATGCAGCAGGTTTCTGTCAAACTCCAAATACCTTTTGTAGATCAAAATACTTCATAAAGGCAGAAGAAAAACATGGCACCTCATAATTATATGTATGCATGGGTATCTGCACTGAACACCTGAATACATTTATTGGCACTAACACATTTTGCACACACAAATCTTGAATTCTCTTCCATAACACTAATTACCCACCAGTAGCAGAGCCATGTAGCTCAGATCCAGTTCACAATGACTTCCTACTTCATTGCAACCACCATAAACACACTCTGTGTTATTTATATAACTGCGTTTTGTTTACCCCTTGTATGTTGGTATGTCAAAATAAAAACTTTAAAAAATCCCCTCTCTTAATCTTCCTTTTCATTTAATTGAAAGGACCTCAGTATGTTCCACTTTGCCTCATGGTGAGTAGAACGGCTCTATAGCCATTATGAGGCAGACCACGGTTATAGGAAACCTAGCTTCATCATTACTTTGGGGCAGAGACAGATTAAATATTTAGAGTCTTTAGTTTTGCTAATTCTATCTGAAATCACGATCCCAATAGTTACTAAATGGAAACAGCTACTAACTTCCGGGGAAGAAGAGCTCAAGTCTTAGACAGTCTGGATAACCCATTTTCATGTCCCCACATTCCACTGCAGGGAAGGGGTTAACAGAGGACCAAATCTTTATTTGACCTGAATACTGAGATCATTGCCAGCTCCCTGGTTTTCCAGCACCACTCCATTAGCTCTCTTATTCAACTGTATATTTAGCAATATGTCTAGAGAGACGGAAGTTGCTTCTTCCTCTTTGCCAAAGTCTCCTGGGGAATGTTTTAAACAGGGTCCCTTTTACCAAATTCACCCCCAAATTTACTTCCTTACATATCCTGATCATTTGGAAAGTTTCTTAATCAAAGCAGTTCATAATTAGCAGATCACAATTGGTATTACACTATTATTCATCTATTATTTTAATTTTATTCTATATATTCTCTGTTTCCTTTTCTGAAACTTTTGAGGAAAGCAGAGAACTCCTCCTTTGATAAAGAATTTATGAAGAAATTATGCCACATTATACCTATTGTGTGTAAATTATCCCAGATTAAAAAGGATTGAAATAATTCATGTTTACGTAGCATTTAAGAGTAACTAAAATGTACATAAGGAAAGCATGCATGCAAAGGTAGTGAAAAGATACAAAAAGAAGAGGAAAATGCAAGAGGGAATTCAGACGTCTAGAGACCGTTGTTTCTCTATCTTTACTCCATGTCTTCCCAATTACACAACAGTCAACACAGGCTATTTTCTTTCAAAGAAGAAAAAATTTTATATTTTTTTTCTTTAAATGAGAAATGATGTCTTATTGACATCATATTGACATATGACACATGCAAGGGAATAATTTATATTTGAAAAAAGATTTCTTCTTCTTAACTTCCAATGTCTATTGGTGCAAATATGGAATTGATTTCATTATAATAATGCAAGACATTCTACTGCTAATTAAATGGTTGAGGTTTTTATCCATATTTTTTCCTCTTAAAACACTGGGAATTTGTTTTTAAAGTACAGATTCAAAAGAATAGGATCTCATAACTATAATTTCATCAGTGCACTTATTCTAATCAGAGAATCTTAATATATGTTAAATAATTAATTAAAATAATTGAATTTAATACAAAATCATCACAGTATAATTACTTATTGGAGGACCCCAAATCCCATTGCAAACAATGACTTTGTTTGCACTCGTAAATATTGAAAGACTGTGGTGAGGAAGAGGTTTATAATTTAAACAGAATATTAAAATTTAACAGTAGCTCGACTAGGTGAGTAGTATAAACTACCACCACAAAATGAAATATTGAAAGAAAATAAATTAAGTTTTTATCAGATTTTACGGTGCTCCACATAGTGAACTTTATGTAAAATATAAATGAAAATGTATATGCTTCAGACCCAGAACTATGAAACGGAAAACAACATACACAGGAATTAGATTATTCTAATTTACCTTAAAATTCTATTAATATTATAATTTTAACATTAAATTTACAGTTTTTTAATATTACAATTATTTTGGTTTTAACTGAATTCCTCCTCCAAATTACCTATATATATTTGCAATAGCAATTATGCTATTTTTGCTAGCTTGCTCATACTGTTGTTGATCTGAGTACAAATAATTTAGTCTTCTACCAACTCCTACCTATCATTTTTTTTAATAAGATACATGTAATTTTTGTGAATATTATTGTGGAGCAGACTGTGGATCATTGCTGAGGTTCTGAAGTCAGAAGCAATTGATGGATTTAAAAAAAGCAGAAACCAGAAACCAGAAAAATGATGTAATTACAATAAATTATGTAAAAATATTAATCCAAACTTCTATGACAATATTAGTTCAAGTATCTAAGACAAATACACAAAAGCAATAACATTCATAATCAAGGATTAAACTTTTAGCAGCTGAGCACTATTATGCTATCCTGCCATGGCCTGTTGTGCCTATCTTTTTGGATTTTTAATCGGTAGCAGAAATTCAGAGCTTTCACTGGCTTTATCTCAGACCTCTCACATAATTTTAAGGTAATTTTTATTCTCTGGGAAGTCAAGTGCTTATATTATATAAATATAATTCATATCTGTATTCAATATACTCATTTAAATACTGTTATTCTATGATACCGATTACTGTCATTTCATGTAAAGGTTTTGTTGCTGTGAAAGCTATAAAGCTGCACAATGTTTTCATTATAACTCCATCTCACTCGTTCAAATATTCTGAATAAAATTCATGCCTTGTTCACTGCCAACAAGAAGAGAAATTTGTGGGGTACTTGATTACATTGAATACAAGCTTGAGCTTTGAGAACAAGGAATTTTTCAGTTCAACAGCACTTCTCTCCCTCCATTCCCTTTTAACAGTGCCCAGACTCGTTTGAATCATTTATAGTGGGAGTAGGGGAGGGAGGAGGAAGGGATGTGTTCATTCTAAGACATCCTATGTCAAACAAAAATGTCTTTTCAGTCATTTGTAAGAGGAGAAAGAGAGAGTATGTAGGGATTTGACAGAGTGATGTAGACCTTTTGTCTGATATAGCTATGACTGCCCTGCTCAGATCTACCAAAAAGAAGACTCAGATTCAATCCTGTTTACCAGAGGACTTCCAGTACTTCTCACCTTTGAATCTCACTAAAAACTGGTTTTAGCTCAATCAGACCCGACTTATAATAAACCCAGAATTTCTTTTATCTTGTACAAATACTTAGTCATTGCAACAGAAACTGGAAAACAATTATTCTCTACAAACATCTTGACTACCATGTTGGAGAATCATGCTCCCTAATAGTGATATCTGTTTCAATAAAGATGCAACTGTTTCACACAAACATAACTTCTTCAACAGCAACTACTAAGAGCATCTAATTGTACCATAACTCTATCCTATTTCACCTAAATATCTGGAACCAGTGTTGATATTTACATTCTATATGATTCAAGCCAGAATTCATTCTTCTACCTTTCTTTTTCCTTCTGTCTACTTCTCAGGTTACTGGAATATATGGTATTCTGATGTAGCATTCTTGATTTAAACCAAGTGCAAACAATCATTGGTTTAAACTATTCCGCCTTCTGCAACTTAAATATTCACTGCTCCAGATGGAAATGCACATGAAGAAAATTACTCTTGAACCAGGTGATAAGGTCACCAAGCCATAAACTATAAATATTCAATTTCATTTACAGAAAAATTGAACTATGTCAACAGAATAATGCATCCCTTTCTAGAATACTTTTTATTCTGTTTGCTGGAGCAAACCTGTGAGTGATGTTTGCTTCTACAGAATAAGTAGAATTTCTTGGGTTTAGATGTAAACATGTGTAATGTGCAAAAATGTTTAATCATGGTTTCATTTCAGTAACACCTGAAAGGAGGGAAAGGCAATATTATACAAATAATGGTTGTCTGTTGGTTTTTTAGCATTATTATTAACCTGTCTGAACAATATGGTAGACTTTCATATTCATTATTTCTCTCTGTAAAGTAGCTATCTAATCTTTCATATACTCTTCAACTTTGAAAGAAAGCTGATAATTTTCAATAAACAGTTGATTCTGGATATAAAGCTGTTCCTGGAGATCATGCAGGATTCACTTGTAATTATAGCACTAAGTATTTCTAGGCTGTGGCTCAGTTCATGTCTTATAAAGCTAGTTAGAGGATTGTTACCTGTCCTTTCAGAATTCTAGCATGATGTAGTGGTCTAAAATGTAAAATGGAATAGCTTAAATAAACATGTTCAGGTAAATTAAGAATCACAACTTCACTTCACATATGAATGTGTGCTTGCACACATGGCAAGGGGGCTGCAGAGAAAGAGGGTGTACATATTATCTTGGTTTGTGAGAGATTCAAGGTCAGCTGTACAATCTTCAAAAGGGACCACAATCATTATGATATATGGCCTGGTGAGGTATGGCCATTGCTTATCCTGCAACTGGCTAGTGTTCCACAGAAGAGAAGGGAACATACCTGGACTTGCACAACTAACTCACAAAAAACGGAAACAGAATCGTTTTAGATGCACTTGTAGCTCATAGCACCAATTAAGCAATACACCTTATTCTTTTAAGTGCAATGAAAGGCAGAAGAACAGAAATTAATAATGAAATTTTTGTATTTGCTTTAGTTACCCGTAGCTTCAAAATATATGCTAAATCATTGTTGATTTTTTGAGAACATAATGAATAGGTCACTTTTAAAGATGGATTTTTACTGGACACACTTAGCATACAAAAGAACTCAAGAGAAAACTGTACTACCAGTGAAAAATTTATTAGTGACAAAACAGAGGCAGAGATTGATGATATCAAAATCAATTACGCAGGACAGAACTGATGCTAAGGCACACAAGTTTTTCAAAAAACTAGCCTGATATGTGTATTGGGTTTGTGTGGTAAAGTTTTGGTAGTGGGGGGGCTATAGCAGTGGCTTCTGCTAGAAGTTGACAGGAGCTGCCACCATATCCATCAGAGCCAATGCCAGCTGGCTCCAAGACAGAACCATCACTGGCCAAGGCTGAGCCCGTCACTTATAGCTATAGTGCCACTAGGATAACACACTTAAAAAGGGTCGGGGGAAAGACTGCAGAAGAGCAACACTATACAGAGGAATATGTGAGAGAAAGCACTCTGCAGACACCAGTCAGTGCAGGAGGAGAGGGAGGAAGTGCTTCCAGGTGTCAGAGCAGAGATTCTCCTGCAAGCCTGTGGTGAAGACCATGGTGAATCAGGCTGTCCCCCTGTAGCCCATGGGGATCCACCATGAGATTCACCTGCAGCCCCTGGAGGACTCCACACCAGAGCAGGTGGATACCTGAGGGAGGTCGTGACCCCCTGGGAAGCTTGTGCAGGAGCAGGCTCCCGGCAGGACTTGTGACTGCACAGAGGATCCCACTGGAGTCCTGAAGTACTGCACCCTTTGGAAGGGACCCACACTGGAGCAGTTCATGAAGAACTGCAGCCTGCAGGAAGGACTCACTTCGGAGAAGTTCATGGAGGACTGTCTCCTGTCAGAAGGATCCCATGCTGGAGCAGGGGAAGGGTGTGAGGAGTCCTCCCCCTGAGGAGGAAGGAGCAGCAGAGACAATGTGTGATGAACTGACCGTACCCCCCATTTCCCATCCTCCTGTGTGAGGGAGTGGAAAGGAGCATGAGAATTTGGTAGTCAAGCCCAAAGAAGAAGGGACTGGGGGGGCTGAAGGTGTTTTTAAGATTTGGGCTTGTTTTCTCACTATCCTACTCTGATTTGACTGGTAATAATTTAAACTAATTTCCCCAAGTCAAGTCTGTTTTGCCCATGATGATACCTGGTAAGTGACCTCTCCTCGTTCTTATCTCAACCCTCAGGCCTTTGCTTACATTTTCTCTCTCTTGCCCAGCTGAGGAGGGGAGTAACAGAGCGTGTTTGGTGGGCACCTGATGTGGAGGCAGAGCACACCCACTACAATACATCAGATAAAGGAAAGGAACAGAAGGAAATATGAGGTAGATTATCACAGAATTGGTTCAGAAATATGATATTAAAAGCAATGTTTTGAAGACAACTGACAGAAACCAGATTGCATCTGTCAAAGCCAAAAAGCAAGATGATTTTTAAGGTTTTGTGGCAATTACAAAATTCTCTCTCTATATATAAACTTCAGAGTGGCTGAAACTTCCTTTCCTACTGCAAATACTGTTTCCTCCAATCCTAAGGTCTAGGCAGGCAGTTTCTCCCCTTGGATCCCCATTACTCTATATTGTTTTGTTCTGCTTCTATCTAGACTATCTCATTTCCAATTTACCTCTTGTCATAGTTTTTTTGTTTCTTTGCTTGCTCATTTTCACTTAATTTCTCTCTTTTTGTTTTCCCTTTTCTTTTATTCTTTGATCTACAGTCTACTCCCATGATTTTAGATTCCACGCCTCTTACACTCTCAGTTTGTTGTCACTGTCTACTGAAAGCTCTACTGTAACACATCTTTTCCCATGAATCTTCTCCAGTCTCTTAAAATACTGAAAACATTTTTCTGTCTGAATCTCTGCATCTCTTAATGTCACCTTTCTCTTCCTGTATTAGACTGTAATTTACCTTTTCTTACACAGTCTTTATCACAAACTTACACCAAAGCACTAGTTCAAGAAATTCACAGGCATGAAACACTACTTTAACCTTCAGAAATCTGACCTAGCCTTATCTATCAGCTTCACTGGCACAATCCCTTAGGATTTTTTATTCTTTATTTTATAGCAAAAAATCTCTCTCTGAGGATCGCTATGACTTTATAATTTTTTCCTCTACACACATTTATTTTCAAATATTTATTTTGGGTTTCCATATGCAGCCTTATCCAGACTCATCATATTATTTTCTTTTTTCGTTTTCAAACTTTCCCCCCACCTGTCTTCCTTCACTTCTGTTGTCTACTCCCATTAGAGATTGCTTTTCTTTGTTGGTCAATCATATTTAAATAATCTTTGAAGTACTTATGCAGGTGTGCCCCTGTATTTAAGTTCTCTGTTGTTTTCACCTTCTTTCCATCTGCATCCTCTTCTCTGGAAAGCACTGTTTTTCCTTTTCTGCTTATTATTCTCACACATATTGTTTGCTCTAACAAATATAATTTGTCAGGTCTATATTGCAAGGCCATCAAGACAGAGACCTTGTACTCTTGCTCTTTTAGGTCAGAAGAGAAAGAGTACAAGAACATCTACAGTAGTAAAAATGGCATTGCATTAACCTATACAGGAAATGAATACTTCTTGGTGTGTTGTACTTTCAGCCTGTAAGCAGACTTTCAGGTCCAAGAATTTGCTGCCTAGCAAGAGGATCTTTTGTTGAATAGCAGCCAAAATTAATAGATAAACATGCAAATAAAACTACTGCTTTTAATATACTTTAAGGCAACAAACAAGCACATGTGTGCCATAAAATGTATTCACAGTACATGAATAATTTAGCAACATTTATAAGGAATACAGTGATCACCCCACATAGGAGTGTAAACAACACTTAGTTTCCCATGGTTTAAGAAGTATATCCTGAACTCACAGACACATGAATTCTTCCCTTCTGAGCAGAAAAAAAGGACATCTCTAGTGGAACCTGAGATGAGTGAAAACTCAGATATCAAGCTTTGTGTGGCTCTGTTTTGCTTTGTTGTGTGCAAAACATGCTTAGAATATACCTTAAGCAACACATCTTTATTGGCAGGGTGTACCTGAAGTTAAGTAATTACACAGTGACTCAATTTTTCTTTAATTCAGGTTTCTCTGTGGAACCTTCAGTCTCTCATCAACACTCTTTATTCTGTAAATCATAGTGATAGCACGTAAACTGAATTCAGATTCATTCCATCTTTTAAGTTTGGTCCCGTTCCCTAGATCTGATTTTGATGATAAGATTTAAGCATGAGGTTTCCAACACTGACACAGCAGTTTGAATTTAGAACCCCCAGTTTTACATTTCTGAAAACTGTAGAGATAGTAATTCATTGAGTAGCATAGTTCATTTGCATAAGATATTACTATATGCTGCTTTAATACAAAACTGGTTCTATAATTCCCTTCTCAATTTGATAATTTAAGGTTCTTTTTACAAAAGGCTTTTCTTTAATGTTGTATGCGCCTGTCCCTAGCCAAAAATAATAAATTAATACATGAGTAGTATCAGATTTCAGTATTGTCTAGAGGTATTTTTTTAGGAGGATTTAGTTTTAGATGCATTCTTCTCATTGTTTATGTCCTTATACCACCATAATTTTGTGTTTAAATTTATTTCAGATTGTTTGGGTAGGAAGGACCCTCTGATCACTACAAATTAATATTGTGATATACAGTATATCTAGAGAATTTCTAAGTTTTTAAGGTAGGGAAGAACAATGAGATTTTGATAGAAAGGTGCTTTCATTTAAAAAAAAAAATTGAAACAGTAGTTAGTGACAGAAAAGATGCTGTAGATAAAGATTTAATTACAACCAGGATCCAGAAATACTTACAATACGAACAAGCCAAGCCAATGTAGAAGTAGATGTAGAGTAGTGGGTGTTGTAATGATAAGGTGGAGTCTGATCATCTTCCCATGTCTCATACCGTTCTGCATAGAAGACTGCTCTCTTTGGGTTCAAAGCCCCAATAGGCTGCAAAGTGATAAGAGGTCAAATATATTATCAGCTGAAGGGCAGCATGTCTGGTATGTCACAGGTTAATTCTGCATTCAGATTCACTACACAGGAGACTCTGCAACCAAACTTGTTCCATGATGCAGTAACCCCTCCAGATTGCTGTAATCTTAGAATTTATTTTCAAAGACTTTGTGTACTAGAAGTCTTATGAGTTTCCTTATTTTAATTGACAAATATAAGTGACCCACATCTGCAAACTTTCAAGACCTTCTTGAAGTATATGTTATTTCCCAATTAGTTCAGTAACGTTGTTCTGGAAATAGACTTCTAAAACTGCATTTAAAATGCATTGAGGCCAAACTAATATTTCTGTTGCTGTCATTCACCATAATCACACAGCTAATGAAAACTGACTTTTGCTCACAAAGGATACTTAGTAATGCGCAGTTCATGATGAAAAGATTTCACACAGAACTGCTGATGGTGTCTGGTGATCCTAAGCAGAAATACTTAAAAAGCATGCATAGTCCTGAGGACTGGATATACTTTCTGTCTGAACAAAGCCACGATTTACTGAGCAAAGCAAATAAGCTTTGTACTTGAAAACAACAGAATTTGGAAATCGTTCTCAAATTCCAAGTCCATTCTGAGCAAACTTAACAGACAATCTATACAAATTAGGTAAAAAACAAAATACATGTAAGGCAGGAGTAGGAACTGTAGGTTTTGGTGTGGCTACTTAGGGAATACATGCATTTTATGATTTTTTAACGCACTTTATCTCAGAAGTTTTTGCAAAATATACTTGTTATTAAGTGATACAAGAGTTACTTGTATAAAGAAAATACAGATTTAAGCTTTTGAAGTAAAATTAACCAAACACACGGAGTTTACTACTTAGAGAAGAGCACACTTCCACACCAAATAATTGTATAAAATTACTATAATTTTTAGTGATTACTTGATTTGAAGTAATCAAAAGTTTAATTAGAATTTATATTATTAAGGGTATTAAAACTTGAAAAAAACATACACACAAGGACTTTGACCCTTTTCAAAATGCTAATAGGTATTCTTGCATTTTATTCCACCACATAATTTTTTCTGGTGAATTAAAATCCAAAGTAATTTGGAATGGAAATACCGGCACAAGGTCAAATCAGTGTGTTTCACTACATTACATATGTAAGTAAAAAATTGTAAAGCTACAAGTATTTTATTTTTTCAGCACTGCAATGTTTTTTGAGATGGCTGTTAAAAAGGCTGACATAGAACAAGATGTTTTCTGATTTAACAGTTTAGATCCTGTTTTTAAATAGTGTGGTGAACACTTACATTTTAAAACATTGTGATTTCAGTATTTTTCACTTTAAACAGTCTGGATGCTTAATACTTCGCTGTGTCGTGGAGATGCTAATATGTTTCTCAAATGTGTAAAATGCATGAGTAATCCCAAAGGATCAGTGTTATCTGGTGCAGATTGCACTGTGAGACCTCACAAAACTGTTGAAAAAGAATTATGAGTCATTCCCTAGCACTTTCCAGGCTTGTTTCCCAACTACTGGAAATAGAAAAAAAATAAATATATGCATTTTTGTTGTACTTGTTTTTGTTACACATCCTGCCACTGTCAGGAAACCCACTGGCATTATTATAGCCTTTAAGCTGCCACTATATTGAAATGATTGTTCAACAACTTCCTTGAAAGACTGACTTATTAAAATACATTGTTTTCCTATTACACTGACAAACTGTGTAGATCTATGAACACTTTGCTAAATTATATCGGGGCTCTGGGTTGCTTTGGGGACTGGATGGAACCTGCTGACATCACCCTCATTAAGGTACTGTGCATCCACTTCTCTGGCAGAACAAATTCCAGTCCCAACTGCATATTTCAAGAGCTAAAGCAGTAATTCACACCCTAGTCTGTTAAAAGGAAATGTTCACCCCCTCTGAGAAGGAAACACCAAATAGTGGATAAATTGGCAGGATTGTATTTTGTAATGGAGAAACACCCTGAGAATATTTTTACCTCCACTATGAAGGTACATCTTACCCTGTGCTGCAGTGAATTTTGAGGCTACGGAAGACAGAGAAATCATCTGTCACAATATTATTGTTCATATATGTTTGAAAGTGCAGTAGAAAATGAATATGGTAATTAATGCAAGATTGAAAATATGGAAAACTCCTGGCCTTTCAAAATATATTTGATGCTGATTAGAAGTCTTTCATCAAACAAGCTATGTGTTTTCATTATTCACTGTAAATTGACTATAGTAACAAGACCTGTGAGGCACAATTGATGCTCAAAAAATAATTACAAGGTATTTTATTTTATAGACTAGCAACATCTTAATGATGCGTTAAACTATATCTTTAAATAACTTTTTAAAAAAATATATTTTATATATGTTTTTATTTATTTTAAAAGGTGCTTTCTATCAAAAATTTGACAATGATTTTCAAAGTCACATAAAATATTAATGCAAACAGTATTTTGTTTTCTAGGTTCTTCAATGAGAAGTGTTATATTAATTTAAAAGTTAAAAGACATAAGGATGTACGATGGTTCATTCCCATTTTCATGTAAAAATGCCTGCATAAGTAGGTGAAATAATCTACCTTCAGAAGATAGACACATGTTCAATTGTATTAAATGATAAACCTGAAAAGCTGTATTCTTCATCATCATCATCAATATTCTTTTCAGAGTTAGAATATATTTTTCTTTAAATTACTTTATGATTCATTTGAAGAAAAATTCTGAAATGCAGAAAACATCTGCTGAATAAAATGTAGACTTTAAGTGAAATACCAATGAGAGTTCTTGCATTGTACTGAAATTTTCATGGGAAAATCTCTGGGGAGAATCTTTTTTCTGGGATCACCCTTCCTTGCCCCCAGAGTGGAAGGAAAAAAAAGAAAGAAAAGAAAAGAAAAGAAAAGAAAAGAAAAGAAAAGAAAAGAAAAGAAAAGAAAAGAAAAGAAAAGAAAAGAAAAGAAAAGAAAAGAAAAGAAAAGAAAAGAAAAGAAAAGAAAAGAAGAAGGAAAAAATAAGTGAGATAGAGCTTGTCTTCAGCTACAAAGTCTCACCTCACCTTCTCAGGACAGATCCTGGATTGGATGAACTAGTGTTCTGGCTGGTAGCCAGAGATACAGATTAATTTCTCTCATTCCACGAAGTTTTATAGCATTCATGAGGAGATTCCTCAGGTATGACTATAGCTTGCAATACAAAGGTGTGCTGGAAGTTCCTCAGCTACTTCTAGAGGGGCTAGCATAAAAACATGGCCCCATTTATCAAGATGACAACTGGAATCCCAGAAGCAGTGCAACTGTCTCAGTGCAGCACTGCATGGGGATGAAAGCTGAGAGCTGCCCATGCTCACATGACTCTGCAGCTTCTAGTTCAGCATTACATCAGTTATCTCTCGCCTGTGGCAAAGTAATACAAAGAACAGCTGATCTCCCTTTTCTCTACAATCATGGAGACCCTGATGTGAACCATTTCTCTGCACATTAATGGAAAATGATAATGGAAAATGTTCAAATATCTAAAATAGCAAGGAGTAAATTCAGCAATGTCTGCCCTGGCTTCCTCAGTATTATCTTAATGTCCAAGTGGCAAAATGCTGTTACCCAAAGTAATGGTAACAGTTCATCCCTCAGTGGATTTTCTGTAAAGATTTTAAATCTCAGTTGTACAAACTAGCAACTAAACCAGTTTTACTCTGACAAAGCATGTGTCCTGCTAGATGACAAGTTCTACAGTAATGGTAGTCTCTCTCATTTCCTGTGAAATGTGTAGGGTATATAGAGTTTTGGTCACTTTTCCACAGCTTTACTATGCCTTTCTCAGCCCAGAAAGTCAACTACCTTGCTTTTAATCTAATACTATGGCTATAAAATGAAGATAAATGTTGTTTATGGATCAATCCCTATATCTTCATATAATGGAAGAAAATAATTTTATTTCCATTTCATTGAGATTCTGCTGCTGCGTGCACTGATTAAAATGACTTGCACAAACAATACAAAGGCAAAGCTCAATCCATATACTGTGTCTCAGTCCATATCTTAACCATAAGATGGATACAGAAACTGAATTTGAGTCAAATAAATTGTTTCAAACATTAAATAAAAAATTCTTTCCATAATGTCTCATAAAATGTTTTTTCAAAACACATCATTTGCCTTTTTATTACAAAACTCCCTCTGTAAGGACTTAATATCACATAGTATTAACTTTCCATAAAATAGTTTTATAGGATATTCTTTACTCCAAAGAGATAAAACAACTCACTCTGTGACAATGCTTATTCATCCACTTCACTTCTGATGTACTAAAAGCTTCTGTTTGAGTTTATTTTAGATTTCTTTCTTCCATTCAAAAATAAAGTATTTACTTTAACATTAAAAACACACTACTATTAATGTAATTCTTTTTTTACCTGGTTAATCTCTTCAGACATCTGGCCTTTGACCAAGAGTATTGTCAATACATCTAGTGTTTATATCCACTGGACATGTTATGTTAGCTCATGTAATATTTACTGCTTTGCCAGCTATCTTCATAGAACTACATTCTCTCATGAAAGCAGAACTGAACGTAGCATCCTGTTTATCTAGCCACTGAAATAGTCTGCTTATCTTGACTCTAATTCATGCAGTAGCGACTTTATCTGTTTATCTTTTTTTTTTTTCCTGTAACGTACTGCACAAAATTTTAGGTGACTATAAAAGAATTATGGAACATGGTTTTATTTGGTTCTGGCTGAAAACTGACTGAGCTTTACCTGACTGCTTGCTTTTTTATTAAAAAACATTCACTGAACAACAACCTACAAGTAGGACATCTTAGGACGGTACTTTAAACTTAAAAATAAATCATAATTTCATCCAAATTTATAAACAGCTTTTCTTTGGTGTACTGATATTAAGAGCAGATATCCATAATAACAGAGTTCTCGCAGATTCAAACTACTGAAGTTTCACACAGTAAATGAACTTTTTATTTAAGAAAATTGTGTTCAATTGTGTGGCTTAAAATAAAAGAGAATTAAACTAGTTTTTCTTTTGATGTATGCGGTAAAGATAGAAGTTTAAGTTACAGAAGCCAATTTCATTTTTCCAGCAAGTGGCTCCTAATAAGCCCATAAACTCCATTCCACAGCATATACATTTTTGGAAGTATTAAGTGTGGTTGCCTTGAAATATTCACACTTGGATGTGCTCATTTGCATTATTACATTTAGAAGCCTTGGGGCTTTATCACTTCCTTTTCTTGAAATGGCACAGTAATAAGGAAAAGTGGTTATGCTTATCACCACCCATCAGTCAAATGCCTTCTATATTAACAAAACATAATTCTTTCCACTCTCTGAATGGGCGTGTGATGTTTCATACACATGTCAATATTAGTATTACTTTGCCTGGTGAAGAAATCATTTTATTTAACAGGATGTATGACTGGAAGTAAACGAGGAGAAATTCCCGTTTACACTTTAATGAGCAGGGACAATGCAGCATGTCAAAACCATGAGTTCACTATAATTTAGGAGGAAAAGTAATACAATTTTATAAAAAAAAACCCATACCACATTTTAAGTGTGTTGAACTCCACAAAAAAACAGTGTACTGTAAGGGCTGCATACATATTTCCTGGACTAATGATTGATATCCTAGGTATTCTTCCAAAGGAAATCTCAGCAAAGAAGAAAATAAGCAGATCACCTGGTGGTTTGATAGTGAAAAGATAATCTATGTATCTATGACAGCCTCTTTCATTAGCTTTTGATCCTGTCAAACAATAAATATAACCTTTAGCCTAGTGTATGTAATGAATAAAACTTGAACCTACACTGTCTAATCAAATGAGAGGTCCAATATATTTCACTGCTATGGCACCTTCCACGGCCATGGACCCTGGTTTTGAATCTAAAACTATCTATGTAAAACAAAAAAAAAAAGCCTTGATAAAGGAATTTTCAAACACTTCAAAGAAAAAGGCAGAGGAATTTTTAGACTAATACTTAAAAGTAATTTTTCTGAGAGAACAAGCGACATCTAGATGTAAAAATACCACAGTAAGGAGCACTACATTAAACCAGAATAAAATGGCATGGAAGGAAAGGACAAGTTACATGTTCAAGATGGCTTTGCAGAAATGTAAATATTTAAATTTGAGCTAAATGAAAAAAGGCGTATGTTTTACTCTGTTACTGAGATCGTAAGCAAGCCAAACACATCTAATTTCATCTTCAAGAAACATATAAATTGCATTTGACTTGTATGGTCACTTATGAGTTGTGATATCCCAAAGGTAGTGTGTCATATTTTACAGAGAAAGCCTAGGAATCAAAGATTAAAAAAATTTAAAAGCATTGCTGTCAATTATCAGAACTGACATTGGAGTTTTGTATAAAATTTGAGCAATAATACACAAAATAATTATTTTTAGAAGTTAGATTTAGCACCTACATTTAACTACTTTAAACCAAGGAAACAAAGCATGATATGTGATTTCTCTTTTAATTCAATTCCTTTTGTGGGTTTCTACCACATATGCAATAGTGTTAGAATTCTAAATAATTTCAGAAGATGGTTTGAAGAGAATTAATTACTAAAAATCAACAACCGAGGCTTTGTGAAACAAAGAAGGGCAAATTTGCAGGGAGACAGGAGGTCAGGAACTGACGAAGGAGATTTTATCCATCAACAATTTAGCTGGAGGTTTGGATTTGCCATCAAACCTGCAGAAACATTTCTCTATTGCAGGGTAAAATCCGACAGAAGGAAGTGGCTCCTCATGGAAAGGATACTGTCTGTGCCTCCCCCCAAGGTCTGGCTGAGACTTGATAGCACACCCTGGTTCAATAATGTGAACAATAAATCACTAACTCTTGCATTTAAACACCAGGCTACTCAGGATTCACTTCCCTAACAAGGAAAGAAAGGGCTCACTTACAGGACAATACTGAAAATTGAAACAGAATTGCCAGGGAAATACTTCAGATATGTTCTGATTTTGAATATTTTTACTGATAATGCAAAAATTGAAACAGGACGCAAGTAATGCATAACAGCCCAAGTGGACAAAGCAAGGTATTTCATACTAATTGGTCACTGCATTTTAAAATAAATCATTGATCTATTTTTCCTTTTAAAACTATGGTGAAATGAAATCTATCAGGTGTTACTATAATGAATACTGGAAAAAACAGACAATTACAACCCTTTTATCCTGAGAGATTCCACAACACTTTACAGATTTCACATGGGTTTTCTCACACATCCAGGGGATAAATGCAGCACAAATATTCCCAGAAATGAAAGAATATTTTCCTATACTAGTTCTGTGCAGGATTGTTTTCAGTGGTCAAAAACCTATCTTTTCCAGAGGAAACCACTGATAACTTTTGGTAAGAGAATGCAGTTATCAAATTGGGCAAGGAAAGGGGCACATTGCATGGATTCTTGATGAAAAGTAAATAGCCATGGACTTGATTTTACATTTCCTTTCAAGGACAGCACTAACGAAAGTGCAGTGATACTTAATAAGCTATACAAGCACTAATTCCATAATGAGTCTTTACTAACTCATGAGGAAAATCTATTTATTGAGCTATCACACTTCCTATAGCAATTATATGCTATAGTAGACTGCCATAAAAATTTGGATTCAGCCAAAACTAAGCACCTAGAGAAGCACTTATGAGACACTGTCTAATCTTGTTGCACTTCACCACACACAGTGCTATTAATACTTGCAAGTGAGTTTGAGAAATTTTGAAAAGTGCAAGGTTTATCACTCTGAACAACTCTGAACCAGCAATACTTTTATACATGCTAGGGAACAAGCAAGTGTAAAATAATCACAGGTGTTTATTTAAGTAATGTCTCTGTGGATCTTTTACTGTTCTTGGCACAGATTACAATAGTGTTAAAGGATTGAAACATACATTTGTGAAACATACCTAATATAGTGAAAGGTCAGAACTTTTACAAAACCTAAGGAAATTATCAGCCTATTTGTTTCTATCTGAGGCATACTGTGCATGTAGTGTAAATTCTGGGTTTATTTACTTATTCATTTATTTGTCTAAGAAAAAAGGGAGAAAAAACTTAGGTATCTTTATCTGCTATTATTCATTCAAGTCCTACTCAAATTATTTCGGATGTCTCACAAAGCAGGCTTCTGTGAATAGTTACAATACATGTGAAGGTACTGCAAGCATACTCTTTCTGACAGGGATGAGACTGTGACATATCCAGGACAGGATGTCTTCATTGCTCCCCAGGACATGTGCTTTAAGGGAGAGGTGGAAAGAAATTCCAGACTTAAAGCAGAAGCCCCAGAAACATTAATGACTGACCAGTAGCAGAAGGGAAAGCATGGGCTGCAGCACAGGACTGCAGAACAGGCCTTGGGGGTCATTTTCTCGTCTCCAGTCTCACTCCTTAAGTCAGTGAGTCACAGTTTCCTGTGGTTTTGAGCCTCACTCAACTTGTACAAGGAACTTCTCCCTCCTGGTTGAGGAGCTGTGGCAAGAATGTAAAAAAGCTGTCGCACTCAAAAAACAGAAACCTCACACTGGGGATTTTGAAGGACTACCCACCTTCACTGTAAGATAGTGCATACACTTAGTTGATAGGAACCAGGAATGATACTTCTCACAACTTAGTTTTAAGCCCTGTTTTTTGTCTTTATTTTAGCTGGCCAAAAGTAGAGCCCCTCTATAGGTTTCTGCTACACTTGGCCAGGACAGACCTTCTCTCCAGTCTGTTGACACAACTAGAGTACCTAAGTCAGGTATAGACAACAATGTGATCCTATTAGAGAAAAAAATACTAGGTACTTTATCATTATAAAACACTAAAACCTGGTTGGAGGGAAAAGGCCCAAGAAATAAAAATAGGGATCAGATACTCCAGGATCTAAAATACAAAATATTTGTTTACTAAATAATTATTAAACCAAAAGGAAGTGCTGCTATTATATTAGTATTCTAGTCACTGCAAAATAAAGTGAAATATTAGTTTAAGCTTTTTATTTCCAAAGGATTAGCTTTTATAAACTCGGGGAGATAATTAGTGAGATTGAGTGGTCTGATGGAATCACGTTCCATAAATCAGAAGGTATGGAGGAGTACCTGGATTTGGAACCAGTAAAGTCAGAGACATGGAAGTACCATAATGCAGAGATTCACTACAAAGTCATTCTAAAATGGAAAGGTTCATTTCAGACTTTTATGAGTTTAAGACCTTACGCAACCAGACTATAAACATAAAACAAAATCTCTTCCTAAAAGGACTGGCTGACTGTTCTTTGACAAAATTGAAGCATACCTTTGAAAGATCTCTGAAGTTGCCTGGAAGGGTCAGGTCTAACTCTTCTGATTCATAGTTTGTTAAAACCCAAGGAAATACAGGGTATTGGTTCAGATCATTGTATGTTCGTCCTATTAAAAAGAAAGTTTTAAGAATTAGGAAACAGCGTCCACTTCTCCAGCTGGAAAACAATCTAGTGGTTACATTTGTTGCATCACATGTTCCCAGTTCCCACCACTTGACACAATCAGGTATAAATCTTCCAGACAAAAGCAGCCATTTAGATGTACTTATACTGAATCAGATGTCAACACAGAAATCAACATAATATAAAGAGCACAGTGTCTTTCAAGATCAGCTAAAACACACCATACGCCAATAAATGTTTTCTTTTTATATATCCATTAAGATATTTTTATAGCATGACTGTAGAAATTTAAAAGAACTAGACTATTATTTTCCTAGCAACTTTATGCAGTATCAGAGCTGGCAAAGATTAAATGAGACTCCAAACAGCAAGGGACTAAATTTGAGGTTTTCAAATCTAGGTCTATCCCAGATAGGCCATATTAACCCATTATTCCCTGTGGTTCTTCTTCACTGAAGAAGTGGTGAGATTCCACTGCAACTGTGGAATCAAAGTGGTGAAAGCCATGTTTGCTTTAACACTATTTTGTAATCACTTTGAAAATAAAAAACATTTCTCCTCCCTAAAAGACAGTGCTGACCGTCCCAGGCCACTCTTTTCAATCATGAAAGAAGCCTTGCTATCATCCCAGCAGCTCAATTGTGCAAAAACCACCTTTAGATACCATTTCAAAGAACAACCTGTAACTGCAATAAACTGAAAAATATGAATTTGTCACTAAGAAAAATGTGTTGGGAAAGGCAGCTATTTCTGTGCTCTCTGGTATTTAGTAGACTCTAACATTTCACCGATAAGACAAATGAAATTTCTTAGTACAGAACCATCCACCCTATGAAAATGGTGAGAACCACACAATATGCAACATGAGTCTTTAGAAGCAAAATCCGGTCATAAATACATATATGCGTGCGTGTGTGTGTGTGTGTGTGTGTGTGTGTGTGTCTGTTTATGTAATATAATTAGCAGACTGAAATAATCCAGGTTAACAATTCCCAGTCCTGCAGTAGATTTACAGCTCTGTTTTACTAACTGCTTCCTTGCAGATTCTGGACAGATTCCTGGGGTACAAAACCCAGCACAGGAAAACACAGGCTTCCTTGTTCTGAGTTGCAGTTGCAATTCTCCACAAAAATCATTTCTGCTTTAATGAAATGTGAAACTCACTGCTCTACAAACCCCTTATTTTTTTCAATAGAAGTTGCTGAACAAAAAGCATGTTTCTACTTTGTACATAGCTTCACTGAATACAGGAAAAGTGCATACTGTTAATAACTGTGTGTCCTCATTTTTACACTTTGAACACATAGATGTTCACAAGAATATAAAAAACAATGAGGTGCAAATACGACTTTGATACAAATGCAGTGCCAGCACTGTGCACTACACACACAAAGATGGATAGAAACAAAACCACTCCTTTAATAACAGCAATGAATGAATGAATGAATGCAAAATGACTCTTAGACAGAACAAGAATGTACCAAACAACTAAACCAAGAAATATACCAGATTTTATCCATATAAGGGTGGAAAAGGAAAGATATTCTCTGGCAGAATATTAATTCTTTTAGATTTTAGGGAGAGCACTCTATGTGTCTTGAAGAAAGACAATTCTGCCTCATTTTCCACATACATCAAGTCGGAATATTATTTTCCTCTTTGGTAAGGGTTTAATTACAAATGTCTTGTAAAGTTTCTTGAGATTATCAAAGTTAGAGTTCTATAAAATATGGCCTCTATAAAACTATAGCTTCACACAATAAGAGTTTTTCTCACCATCAGAATCCTTAATTAACAGAGGAGTGTGCAAAAGCTTCCACAACAGAAAGACATTTGTGTTTATGTAGACAGCAGACTAAAAGAAATTCGAGATTTAGGCTGAGATGACTGTAGTCTATTACAAAGCATAAGCAAAAATAAAGATTCTTCAGAATCAAAACTTCAATGGAAAAGAGTTCAGAGTAGCAAAGATCTTCAACTGTAACCACTTTATAGAAACATTTGAAAAGGTGAGAACATCCTTTTGCAAAATTTTGAAAGGAAATGTAGGGTTATCCAAAATTAATTTTAATTTCAAAACTGAGATTTTTTTCATATTGTATTTCATTTAGTTTTGATACTTATTTCATTTACTTCATATCAATTTAATTTCAATATTCAACCAAAAGATTTTGACTTTTTGTTCCCATTCCATATGGGAAAATCATAAATCTGTGATTAAGTCAAGAAAAAAAGCAATCCTGAGCCTAGCTGCTGTGAGTTCTTCTTTGTTGAGTGATTACTTATAGTATAGACATATGAAGAAAGTATCATGTGACATTAGCTCCATGTCAGAACACTGCAGTAACTCCTGTGTGCATTTTTTTACCCCACAATGAGAAATAATTTGAAGCGGTTTATCTCTCAGCTTAGGCAGGATAAATGGCAAACAACAGAGCCTTTGTGATTATGTATTTGATAAATATAAGCATAGTCTTGTGAAAAAATAAACAAAATATTTTCTTCTCTCCTACTTCAATATTTATAAAACATGAAGAGATTAACTACTAAGAATAGCTATTAATTTGTTTAATAAAAAAGTTAGTGATTTATTTTTATTAATAAAACAATTTTTTCTTAATATCAACAAATAAAATGGACTCAAGAACACGAACTATAAATTAAATTGTGAGAGGACACCAAACCTACATGGTAAGTTAAGACCATACATCTATACTTATCTGAGTGGAGGACAGTGACCTAGGCCTATAATGGGATTACAAGTCCATAGTTCTAAACATGCATAAATATCAGTGGTTTCACTTTATTAGGAATGCTGTTTTGATCAATTCTGGCTTCACAACTAATGATTTTCAGAATAAAGTCAGCAGATGAATATACTTAACCATCTCATCAATTGTCTGGTTCTTCCAGCAAGAATTATTTGGTTCTTTCTTTAGCTAAATAAATATAAAACATAAAACCTGTACCACTATCAGTAGGCTCTATACCTTTTCAGAAGCTTCAGATTTCCCTCAAGTAGGTTTACAGAGATTAATATTAAAGGCTGAATATTAAATATCGCAAGCCTGTGACACTAATCTATTTGAACAATAAAAATGAGGCATAGTAAATGAGATCTTATGTTTCTTCATAAAAAAAAAAACCACAAAAGTTTTTAATTAAACCATCCAATTTAATGTTTTTATATGGCACTTCAGTTTTGAAGGTAAAGCGAGCTAGAGACAGCTGACAAAGAAATTATAACTGCAATTCCTTGGTGAAAATGTTAATGACAGCAAAATATTGTTTAATTAGATGATTGCAGCATCTGGATTAACACTCTTTAAGAGCGATGTTCCTGTGCTTGTCTGCTTCTTCACACTTTACAGACATTTTGTCATCTCTAGGTCATTAGGAAAGAATTTTTAATGATTTTTCTAGAAGCAAGTAGTTCAAGTTACATCTAATTAGATGACAATAATAAGCCCAACACATGCAGTAGCTAAATATATACATAATTAACCAGTGAGGGCTTGTACATCACAGAGTAAAAAAGTGGAAAAAGCTAAACAGGCGAAAAAAAAGGGGGGAAGGGGAAGAAATTTATTACCTAACTGAAGATGTCATTTTTTTCCACAAACCTTTAAAAATAATATTCTTCCCACTACAAGAAATTGCTCACAAGAATTAAGGATGGAATTATTCTCCATTTCTTTTAAAAGCTGTGGTATATAGGATTTAAAAGACTTAAAATTCAAATAAATACAAATGCAATCACATATTTAATATACTACAATTTGAAAAGAAAAACTCAGCAGGAATCAGTTAAATACTGAGAAATAGACTTGAAAACTAGACTTCTAACTAAAAGAGTGAGCACTGCAACCATATTACAAAACGACTTCTTGTTCCCACTATTCTTGATCCCTTTTGCAGTGGTGGGATTACTTCTAAGTGCTCTTTTCAATAAATAATCTTTTCAATAACCTTGTAACTGAGAATAGTAACAATTACTTGTTTCCTATATCACCCGGAGGGTTCAGTTGACACATATGCTGGTCCCATGCAGAAAGGACAATTAGCATAATCATAGCTGCTTCCAAGTCTTCAAAGTAAAAGGATCCCTGAGAAAGAAATACATAGGAGGAGGGGGAAGGTGGCCAGGAAGGCTTGTCTACACAACCAGGACAAAAACCAGGGGTAACATTGAGGCTGATTGATAAGCAGCAGAGTGCAGCGTTTACCTCTGGGATGAAAACATGATGAAATATGCTTGAGCCAGAAAAGAGGGCAAGAAAGAGGTGAAGAGCCTGGAAACAGAATAGGGAGGTGAGAAGACTGAAACTAGAGGGCCAGAGAAACAGGTTGAAACAAGACGTTATAGAGTTTTGAAGATGGAGAGCGATTTTGAACTGAAATTGCAATGAGACATCAGGCCAACCAACGCAAGTGAAAATAATCATATGTACTTGGATAGGAAATAAACTAGAAAGAGAGATCTTTGAGAGCTGAAGTAGACAGTTATTAAGTCGTGAGTACAGATCACAGTAGAAACAGTTAAACTAAAAATGAAGTGTGGAAACATTTCAGATGCTGATGTAAAGATTAAAACAAAAGTCATGGAAAGATGGATATTTTCCAAAGGGACACTTTGGTATTTCAAACACGAAGAACATATAGGATAGGCAGGAGCCATTCTTGTCAGGATAAACATACCAGCAAAACGGGTAGAGATTTAAGAAGATATTCATATATTTATTTCAGTGGTTCTGTTGTTCAGAGTCCAAACAGTCTATGTAATTAACAGTATTAACAAGCAGGTAAAAGACTTCTTGTGGGAAAGGACCCATCTGCATGATGCCACAAACAAAAAAAATGAGCTGGTGTCAGAATCCTTAGTTCTGAACGTCTCTCTTGCAAGGCTACTGCTTCTTGAGTAATTTCAGAAAAGGATCACAAGAAAATGGGAGTGCTTTAATACTCTTTTGTAAGAACTAAATATTAAATAAACACCATTGTAAAAAAAAAAAAAAGGGAAACTACAAAGAATTAGCAAAAGATGCACTAAACCACGTTGTTAATGGACATCTACTAAGATGAGAAGGAAAAACAGTGAAGTGACCTTACTTATCATCTACTTACCAAGAGATAATCTACATTTTTTTGAAGTGTCAAACCTCCATATTTCTGACTAAGCTACAGCTCAGATATGCTGAATAAGTCAGTAGGAGTTAAATGGTGACATAAATAAAAAAAATTTGATGCATATATTTCTCAATAGCTAAGAACAATAATATTGTTAGAGAATAAGATGCTGCTTAAATAAAGTTATATTCCGAAACTAGGTCATCGCTGCCTACATGAACAATTACTGGCAAAGAACTTGCAATTTTTAAGAAAATATTTCTTATGGAATCTCATTACAAAAGAGTATAATTAAAAATGTATTTGGAAACTGGATTTCCAAGAAGAAAAAAAAGAAAATACACATCTTCACTTAGGAAAAGAGGTCACAAGCATACTCTGTATTCTATCTTCGCATACAAAATAGAAATTTCTGTATTTTCTTCTGACTGCTGAGGGTCCTGTGTACAGTGCATATAAGAATTTGTGCCTGTTTAATATAGATGTACATGGATAGTTATCAAAACAGTGTATATAACTCTTATCAAAACTAGGGCAACAAGTACTAGAGGTACTTTGCTTCCAGTACTGTATTTCTGATAGAGTTATTAGTTTTTCTAGTGCTTCATCAGAAAACATCTATTTCTTGTAAAGGGAATATTTTTGAGGAATGCTTTTCAACAGAAGACTTACAGAAAATACAGGCACAGCTGTAAAAGCAGCAGTGTCATTCAGGCTGCCTGCAGTTTCCCAGATCTCAGGCTGTGGTGGTACTATGCCATGCAATAGTGGAGCAATCGGCTTGGGGATGTGAGAACTTTTAGGCTGTCTAACACATATTTAGGTTTTGAAGCTTTCTTCCCTATGATTGGACTTGGAGCTCAGGTGCACTCCATTGTGGGTGGGTTTCTGGTTTGCCAGGAGCTTTATGATGAGATTCTTTGCAATGCTCCCAAGTTCTTAATGAGTTTTTGGAAGTCAGCTACCTAGATGAAGTACAGACTTCATTAGAATAGAAAACTAGATTGATCTTCCAAAAAAATAACTTGAGGGGATTTTTGCTTCTGTCAAAAAGTCAGACAACTTTGGGGTTTGTTCCAAACTGCAATAAAAAGTTTGTTGTCATGTCTAGAATTGCCTGTTGGGTTTCAGTCAGTCTGGTGTGTGTCATTGGCAGGGAGTTCAGCTATCGAGGATAAATTTGATTATAATTAAAAAAAAAAAATCACGTACTGCTGAAAGATTTTATAAGATGGTAGGTAATGCTGTGAAATGAGCAATAGAGCTTATACAGTTAACTATGAGATTACATGAATCTATGAGATTTACCAGTATAAGACTAATACACATAAATTTGCTAGAAATTAAATGCTTTGAGTCAGAGAGAGACACTCCAAAGGTAGTGACCAATCTACTTTTCCAAATACAACACAAACTCATGAATATACACCAAAAACAACAAATAGTCAGTAATCCTTCAAACTTCGGCCATAGCAGGTGGTACCTAGAATGGGAATGTCAAGTCATCCTGTTGTAAGGCAGATGAATGCTACCAGATGACTTAAGAGAAACTTGTCTTGTACAACCACCCAAAGTGTTTGGCTATAAAACATGCCCAGCAGTATTAGTATTAAACAAAAGGTCAAAAAACATTTCTTTTGAGATCTCTGAGATACTCTGAAGGAATCTCTCCAGGCTGAACTTTGTTTACTGATGAATACTTTAGTGTGTCACTGCAATTCCTAATTGACTTCAGACATAATGGTGTCTTCTAGGTTTGGATGTTTTGGTGATGTACCTAAAAGTAAATGACCTTGAAATTTTAAACTGATTAAAAATGAAAAATTTATAAAAAATTGGCTCAGCTCTTGTGTACTGTCATTTAAAGAGTTTAGTCTCACTGCTTACAGAAAAAATGAATACATAAAAAGGAAATTACAAGCAAAGGACTTTTTTGTTGTTATTGTATTGGACAAGGACTGAGAGGACCTAGGCTACCTTCCTAGCTCTCCAGAAAAATCCTCCAAGTCTGGGTGAGGCAGTCAGAGAGCTTGCAAGGCTCTGCCTGTACTTCCTCACCACCAGAAGGGCAGCTGATGTTAAAGAGCCATGAAGCAGCTGGAGACAGGCCAATGTCCAGAGTCAGGATAGCAGCATTCTCATGGCACTGTGCCAGAGGCAATAAACGCTCAGCAAGGCTCCTTCCTCCAGCAGAGAACTGCGGAACTGTAGCTATAATGCTTGGGAACCAAGCTGGTGAGCCTTCATTGGACTTCACCATATGGACTTTCCAACCCAGATGTCCAGTAGTTTCAGGGACTCTGCTTTTTGCTTCACTGCATAAGGTAAACATGCCCTCAGATTTCCAATTGTTCAGTAGTAGCACTTCTGTACCACATCGGGATAATTTGATGACACATTTATTAATATCTATAAGACTGGATATATGGAAGATGACTACCATGCACAGCAGCAAAAGCCTAAAGGTTCAAAGCAAGCGAATTTGACGGCTCCTGAATTCTGCCACTGCCCTACTGGGCAGAATGCAGTGACTGTCCTCAGACTAGTCAGTGTAACGAGTGCTACTTTTAGGTTTCACACTGACATGTATCTTATATCTGGCCTGAGGATAACCTTGAGCATAAAAGTCAGGACCAAGTAAAGATGAGAATTGTAACACTGGAGTACAAAGTGATGCCTGGTGGAATTTAATTTGGGTTTCAAATTAAAGTTCACTGAAGTGAAATGTCTGAGGAAGGCTCTCCACGGGCAGGTTTATAAGCAGCATGTGTGCTACAGGCAGGAATCATAATAGTAGACAACCTCCTGGAAATTTTTGTATATGGTCTAAAAAACATTTTTACATTTAAAATTACCATAGGAGAGAATACATAGAAAAGGGAAAGGTGAAAGGAATAATATCATTGTGAATGTTTAATTAATGACAATTGCCAGAAAAGCTCTTCTTTTGCCAATAACAAATGGATGTCTACGGCAGTTATTTCTCATTTTAAATACCTAATCTGATATTATACTTCAGCTCAAAGAACTAAATGAGAAAAGATGCTGTAATCTAATCATACCACAATCCAGGTGACATCTGTACTAGGCAGAATACTGTTGTTATTCTGCTGTCTAGTTGCTGTTGCAGAGAATGATGAAGTAGTGAAATTACATTTTCCCATTATTATTTCCAGACACTCTCTGGCAATGGTTTGTTGACTCTAATAAAGCTTCAGACAAAACTGTCAGCAGAGGAAATGGCAGAAGGGGAGCAAGGAACAGCCTCCACAGCAACACATGAATCTAAAGTCTCAGTGATAGGTTGTGCATTTTCTGATAAAATTTAATGTGTGTGTTTCCGAATCTATCACAAAGCTGCAGCTGAATTCTAGAGGGATAAATGTATTCTATCAAGTCACGGTGCTTAAGACTTTGACAAACAAATGCATTATGAAGGATTAAATCGTCAGAAGCCTTACCTGCTATAGTATTGAGGAACATCAAGTATTCAAAGTTAGATATCTCCCGTCTCTGCCAGCGCTGAGTCATGTTGGAGGATTTATAAAGCTGTCGGGGTGTGGCCAGAGAGATTCTCCTAGGAAATACATTTAAAGAATTATTTTTTTAAGAGTCATCTTAAATGTTACGATGTAGGGTAACATAATGAGTGTGATTAATTTCAGATTCTCTCAGAGGCTTTTTTATGTCAAGAAGATACTATTACCTTATTTGAGAAATGGATAAAATTAGGAACTATATTTTATTTTACCACTACTACAGCATTGTAATAAATCAGAATAATATGTTGTGTTTTATTTTATTCTGAATCTGGTTAAAAGACTGGGAGTAAAAGAACTGCAGACCTCCTGGTGCCTGGCTTGTCTAGCAGGAAGAAAAGAGGAATACCAATTTCCTGTTTCAAAGGTATATATTGAGATAAGTTCATTAAGGTGAGTGAGTGATAGATTAAAGTGCCATATATTTCCATCACATGGGTTGAAGATATTTATTACACAATTTGTGCACCTCTTCTCTGGTCAGCTAACCATGATTCTTTCCTATATCCCAGTAAGCTTCAAGACTTCAATTTATAGCCTGGTTTCTGAAAGAAACAGGGTTTACTCAGTTATCTGCTCACCTGTTCATCTGTCTCTCCATAATGACTTCTGAATTGTATTTAATTCAAATTAGAAAGAGGAGCAGAAGCTTTTAAGATAATTTCCACACATTTTCTAAAACTTTCATGACTGGATAAGGGAGAGAGAATCAAACTACATGCCAAGGAAAAGAAAATCAGAAAACTTAAGCTCTTCTGCATTCAATTTGTCAACATCACAATAACCAAATACCATACACCAAGTTCTAAATTACCCATTGTATATACTGTCCCTGGTTGGTAAAATATAGGGGACTAGAGTCAGTCTAGACTAATGTATTAAAGAAAACAATCTGCAAAAAGTAGAAACAGGCTCATTGCTCTCAACTCATTTCTAGAGAGAATAGTTCTTGCCTGAAAAAAAAGACAAGAAAAATCTTTGGAAGGAGAAAATATCCTCAGATACATTTTTTTTACAGAAATTTAGATCTTATAAGTGTATCAAAATAAGGAAAATGTTTATACCTCTTAAAAATAACAACAACAAAGAGGGTTTCCAATGTGTAGTCTGAATTTGTTGAATTTAAAGAATATATCTAGTAGCACTTCTATAGCTTGTCAAGAGTAAACAGGGACACAATGCTTCAGCTTTTAGTTGCACACTAAGCACACTAATTGTACTTTTTCTAGACTCTGAATGCTGAGTATTTTCTTAAAGTTATATGCAAATTGTCAAATTGGGCAGAGTTTACAAAACTGTGAACCATCTACTTCTAAAGATACATGTACATACTTCTATATATGCACTAAACTCTACTTCCAGAGAAATTATGAGTATTGGTATGTGATTGGCGTGTACAGGCACAATTTTGTGTCTAAATTGCAAGTGGCCAGGTTGTCAATGTCTGCCATACTTCAGGTTACAAATAGGGCATACAGAAATGACCCTGCAAGTGTATTTACCCAAATAGCAGGACATAGGGTCTTGCCACATTGACTAGCCTTATGACTCTAGGATGCCAAAGGTAAATACACTTTACTAGTACACAGGAGGCAATACAAAATGTTTTAGTTATTTCTATTACACTTCTTATGAAACAAGTATCTAAAGAAATATTGGAATGTAATCATATTTTATATTGCATTTTATAGATTAACAATTAGTTTTACAGTGGAACTCTCAAAGACATATTGTTCCCAGAAAATTTTGGCTAACACTACACACAAATTAGTCAACACAGAAAATAAAAATACTAAGGAGCTCATTAAATTTACAAAGCATTTCTGTCACCAACTTTGTGTTCCACCCGTTCCATCAGTACAGCTTAGTAGCTGCTTTTAGACTTTATTCACAGTCTTCTAGGGAGTCTCAAAAATCTATAAACTGTCAAGTGCTGGACTTCACATTTGAATACCTGATTTGAGTACACTCTACAGAAAATCAAAATATACTAAAACACATCCTTATTTACTCCATATCTAAGGTGTTTGAAAGATTCACAGTTATTTCAGCAAAGACTGGAAAAAATTATGCACAATAAATTGGTTCCACGCCTGCTTGTTTCAGCTAACACAGGAAGACCCACTGTTTTCTGTTTTGCTAAATCCACCCAACTTTGATCAAACTATTTCTCAGAAATGAATGTGCTTCCTTTGCTTCTAGAGAACCATGAAACATCTACTCAAAATGGAAACTGCAGAAGACTCTGAAGTACAATGGAATGATCCAATTTTTCAAGTTTTATATGTTTAAATGTGTTTAGAAAAAATTTCATGCCATTTTGTTGAGGGAAGGGATGTTATATATTCCATATGTGGAGTACGACACAACTCTTTTCACAGTCACTTTTAATTTAGTAAGCTGATATTGAATATAGTTATGGCAACTCTCAAAATACATTTTTTGCAGCAAAAAGTTCATAATTTGAATTTCTTAGCTTTAATAACTGGAGCTATGGTTTTCTCTAATGCATTAACAGCTCACAGAATTTCAGTGAAGGTGCCAGCATATGTTTAGTGGTGAAGTAAGATACTGTATCTTTTACCAATTCTTTGATCTCTGTACACTTACAAAACCATCAGGCAGCTCACAGTTGGTTTCTAAACTTGGTGTTATCCTTAAAAAAAAAGGCATCAGTAAATTACACCTGAGGTGTTAAAACCCTCAAAAGTAGTCTGATAACAGCATGGTAAAAATGTGGATACTACCCTACCTATGTAGAATCACATGGACCTGCAGAAGTAAGTTAAAAGGCACAGCACTGTCTGCTCAGTTGTATCATTTGTCAAAGTCATAAGGAAACTACAATCAGTGTAATGTGTTTCAGGAACATTTAAAATGCATTTATCAAAGACAGACTAATTTGATTACCAAATCAGACTGAATCCTTCAACATGTGGCTGATTTTAAGGATGTAATTCTTTGTAACATTAGGCACAGGCTTGAACACTTTGTTGAATCAAAGCATTAGACAGGCTGCTGGAAAAGGTAGCAAAGTGGCAAAGTGGAGACTTGCTCAGAACAGCAGGTCTGTAAGGTTTCAGGAAGACATACCAATTCACCTGCTTCAAATACTTTGTGCCATTAGTGCATAAACATTGCTATTTCCTTCTACTTCATCTACTGCATCTTTGTTAATTGTAGGATTTCACAAGGAAAACTGAAATGCACTTGAAGTCAATTGTACTACATTAAAAGTAATTTATTTCTTCAGAATCTTTTCATCACTAATACAAGTCTTTATGGTACTGTATTTAACTTAAAATGACATGTTTATCAGAGTAATATCAGAGAGGAAATATTACTTACATAAATAAAACTTAAGAAATTAAGCAAAACAACCAGAAAGATCTGCTTTTGTTGAAATAAAGTACAGCCTAAGCTGGAAAATTGGTGATAAAAAAGGCATTTTAGCATAGTAGCTCCTTTTGATTACTCAGCAAAATTTCTCCCTCTCTTAGTTATACAAACAAGCATAATTTTAAAAATTAGCATGCCAGAGCCAACATATTCATAGGAAGGGAAACTATATTCTAACATCAACAAAAGATTAGATTAACTACAGAGCAGTTATAGAGCCAGATTTCCTCTCAATTATTCCACTGCAATCCTAGTGAAGATAATAATGGTATGTAGACAGGAAAAAAAAAAAAAGAAAAAAACCATGATTACAGGGTCTTTATTGTGCATAAATCATACCATGATTACACAAAAAAAAAAAGAAAGAAAAACAACTTCACTGCCATATGCCAGATCTATTCTGAAGGCTAGCAAGCCCATTTTCTATTCAAATTGAACTTTAATCAAAAAGGTATGGAAATAACTGCATATTATATTGAAGCTGAAACTTTTCTAAATAATTATATATCAACAAACTTTTTCAGACAATTATTCACTGAATAATGCACAAAGGATATGAATTTCAAAAGTAAAAAATGTCACTGTAGATAAGAAATTCTGATTGAGAAATTTGCATTTTGTTTGTGCTAGAACATGTGGCCATTTCTGTTTCAGAAAAGAACACTATTACTTTCCACATAGAGACAGCAATTCCTTTAGCTTGAGTATATGGAAGAACAATGCAAATATTAACAAGATGCGCTTTCCAAATAAATGCCCCAAATTCTCCTTGATCTCAATGAAAACTTGAGAAATCTGGCAGTTTGCCTAAAAGCTTCAGCACATTCAGGAGATCAAGCCTTAGGTACCATGAGACTCTCCAGCTCATGACAGGGAATGATGTTCAGCTGGGAATGAAATAGTTCTCCAGTTCTAAAAATGCTTTGACACTTCAAAGTATTTCCACATTTTGCAGTGGGATAAAACAAGGACAATGTGAAGTCTTAGTTTGTAGGAAATGACTTCAAGAAAGAGAAAGATACACCCCAGACATTACACTGATGAGCAAGTCACTGGCTTTTGACCAAATCAAGCCAAATGGATGTCTGAACCCAAAGCACCATATTTTGTGAATTTCCTGCTGCTTCCTCTCTCCCTTATATTTATTTATTCTTGTTTCATTTTGACCAGAAGTTAATCCTGAACCTAAAAATTTTTTCACCACATTTCTGCTGATACACCCTCAAAAACAATTTTGGGTCCAAACAGATATTTCTAAACAAAAAAACCCTAAACAACAAAAAAACAAATAAAAAAAAAAAGTCAGGTGGGAAATTTTCCCCCTCCGACTAAGTGAAGTACACATGAAGATCATCTTACATATCACTGAAATAGAAATACATTTATAATATAGGATTTCAAAATTTCCAGCCTTATTTCTGGTCATAGGCTGATTTGATATTGATGTTGAAAATCTCTAAGACTGATCCTTAGTTGGTCTTTCTAAAATATCTCTCCTTCTTAATTTTGGAAACAGAAGAAGAATAATGCATTACTAATGTATAGAAGCAATTTGGAAGTTGCAAAATAACCACTATGCTGATAAGCAGTTAAGTAAAATACACACACATTCATACAGAAAAAATTAATTTACATTCAGCAAACACAAAACCTAGTCAAGTTTAGTTCCACATCCTGTATAACAATCAAAGCAAGGATGAACATTTACCTATAAATTTATAAAATCTGACTGGAAACCAGACTTTGAAGAGATAAGGTGTAAGTTTTTTCACTGGAAGGTACTTATTTCCTGTAATTGGAAAAAAAATAATCTAATAATCTAATTTAAAATAATTTTACTTCTATCCCATACTAATAGGCCATATAGCAAGTAAAGTTTATCAAAGTAACCTTAAGAAGGAGAAAATCTAGAGTTTCATGGCAGGAATAATGTTCTAGGGTTGACATTCAAAAAACATCAACTTTATAAAATAATAAACACAAAATATACTAATTATTTTAATTAAATTACCTGGCTTGTGGCAAACCATAGCTGGTTCCTACTCCAACACGTGGTAAGCTGTACACGACTTTTTTCACTGTTGCTTGGTCAGGAAAATTAAACATAACAGAAGCTAAATGAAGAAAAGAAAATATGGTATAGGAAAACATTTGCAGAATGTCTGTTTCTCCATCTGCATATATTTTTCAAATGCTCTGATTTCTGTATGGGGAGAGAAGTCAGTTCCACTTTTATCCTCCTGGGGATCCAAGGTACAACAGAAATTCCTGCTGTACTTTATAACTGTGTATAGTTAGCTGGTTAACGTTTTGGCATTAGCTCTCCCATTTTGCAGAAGATCTGAGTGTTGTTTATTTCAGAGGAACCACAGCTTACTATTAACCCATATAGCCTCTTATCAGGCTGAGAAGTTGTCCAGTAGTTGGCACAGCATTTGGTCTTCTAACTGGTGCATTAAAACACACGGGGCCAAGGAATTGTTTAATTCCCTCCCCGGTTGAAATTAAAACTTACATCAAAGTTCCTCAGGGCAAAAGACCACTGACACACCTCACCAGCCACTCACCACCCACCAACCATTCATAGTAGCACATACAGAAAACTGAGTGGATCTATTTATTTATCATTTGGTACTTTTTTACTTTAACTCAGTTTATAATTAGAAAAGGAATTATCCCTTTATATTTTTCACTAAAATAATTATGGAAATTGAGAAGAGGGGTGAGACAATAGAAAAAGCAAGTTTCCTATCAAACATCTGAAGAATTTACCAATTGTAATGATGTGGTTTTGCAAATAAATTTCCCTGCTGCAGAGAAAAGAGTGAGATTGATCTATGTGATTGATTTTAACACAATTTGCACTGAATATATGCAAGAATAAGCATTATTGAACAGATCTAAGCACTTTATCGGAGGAAGCACAGAGTTTAAATTCTAAGATAATAAATAATTAGCACAATTTTATGCAACAAATATAACTACGACCTACTTCTGTTTGCCATAAACACTTCCAAAGCTGTGTTCTGGAGAAGATAACGTCTTGAAAAGACAGCCCGAATCTCGCTGAACATCCATTTTCCATGGAGGCCTTCAGTATAGGCGAGGACCTTTAAAGAAAGTCGAGGTGACAGCTATTAGCTGGATTTTTCAACAAAATATTGTGTAAGAACACAGGAAATTTTACCCATCCATGAAGCACAGTTAAGTTAATCACATCTCTTTAACACTTAAAACCCATGAGTTAAAACATGAACTTAAATGCTTTTAAGAAATACAATGAAGTATACCTGTTTTTAGAAGAATATTAGTAAGTACCATAACTTGATATTCCTAAAACTATTTCTCATAAGTCACATCAACTTCTTTTCCTCAAAAAAAACCCCAAACCCAACCTCTACAGGCAAGCACAGGGAAATGGACACAGTTGCAATCATGCTTAGCTGTATTTTCTTCCAACAGTGTGCATGACACCACTGTCAGTAATCTATCAGATAACAGATTTACTTCTGAGACTGTCTTATGCAAAGTACAACCCAAATCATATAACTTGCTATTCACACCCTGTTCAGGGTCATAAATTACAAGTCCCTCCATTCCATTAATAAATATAAAAATTAGCCAGAGCAGTATGCCAATAGTCACTTTTCTGAAGTTAATTACATTTAATATCCCAAACCATGAACAAAATTTAATGATTTGTAATTTTGCATTTTAAAAATAATGTGAAAATATTTCAAAATAAAATAGTTAAAAATTAGCATTGCTTTTCCAGTTTGACAGTTTCTCAATTGAATGTATTGATCTAAGACTAGATATTAATACTTAAATAATATTTTTCACTTTTCTTTCAGTGTTCAGGATGTTCAGGAAAATAAGGAAAAAAAGACACAATTTAATTAGGTATCAGCTTTATCTCCTCTGTGGATTACCATTTCATCAGTATCATGCACTGTAAAACAACCTTTTTCCAATATTTTTCATTAGATGGAAGGCTGCCTTCAGCCCTCCACATCTGCTCAGGTGGGTTATGCCATGACACTCCTACAAGGAGTCAACTGTCTGGAATAGGGACCCTCACTACACCGACCTGCATTTCCCAGGCTCTTGACTCTGCCTTTGCCTAGGCTGCAGTCACTGAGAGTTACTGCCTCAGTGAAAAAACCACAATGAACACCTTCACTAAAGAGAAATGCAAAAAGGTTTCAGACTGGAGAGACTGAATATCTCTGTTCTCCACTAGGTACATAGAAACTGTCAGTACACCAGCTTGCAATGCTCTATTCGTTCAGAGATCTTTACTTCCTGTAATCATGACCTACCCCAGCTTCTGAACAGGGAAATGTTAGAAAGACCATATGCTGCTGCTGTCAGTGATCCCTCATGCTTGAGGTAATGGGAATTGTATTCCTTCAGTTTTTTCACTGATGCAGCTTCAAGTTAGCAACGTCTTCATATATGGAAAAGCTAATTTAAATTTGTGCTCTTGGTGTACAACCTTTTTCTCATAACCATGATGAGTCTATTTCAGAGATGACAGTAACAACAGCAATAATACAAATGCGCTTCAGCACATAGAAGAGTGTTCAAATGTTAATTCTGTCCCTGATGGAAACTGGTCAGAGGAACACACTCATTCCCCTCTACTGTTCACATTAGAATAAATTACAGACAAAAATTAGAACAACGCTGTGGCTGATGGCACTGTTTCATTCAACTCAGCTCTCCACCCTAATTAAACACAGCTTGGAAGAAGGTGAGGGGCTTGATTTCTTTGGAGATCCCTCAGATATATGCAAGAAACTATATGCTCCTTCCATTCAGTCACAGGCCAGTTGTGCAATACTACCTCATAGGCTAAACTCTTACAATGGTTAAAAATCTGCATCTTATTTTTACTTTGAACTCCGGTAGGTCCCATGGTATCTTTGCCTGTGAGTCTTCTAGTATCAGATGACTTTTTCTTGTGTTGCTAATTACAGACTGGATCCAGTTACTGCTTAGCTTTCTCTTTGATAAGCTAAATAAACCAAATTTTCCCTGTTTCTTTTTTTTCATTGAGATCAGATGCTAGGATACAGCTGGTATCATGTATGTGAAATTCAGGTGGTTAAGAACAATGACCGTGAAGATTTAAGCACCCTCCTTCTTTGAATGTATTCTGATGCTATCTGATATATAATTTTTGTAAATTCACAGGTTTTTAACATATGGAGGAGGAAAGTGTTCAAGTTTAAAAACCTAAAATATGAGAACAGTCTCTTAGAGAGAGGAGTTTAAATATATGTAAGTGTAACCAGATTTACAGCAGCCAGAAGATTTGCCAAAGAATTAGTTTCTTGACAAAACACCATGCTTTGGGATATCACTTTTCATGTAAAAAATATTTCTAGTTATTTTTTCTTAAAGAAAAATGTTTAATACTGGCTATATCCTATGTATTAGCATTTTAGATGATTCACAGTAATACATTTATGATGTATTGATATATACCACAGCTTAGTTATTATAGATCAACACTAAATCAATCAATCATACACTGGTTGCCTTTTACTCCTTCCTCTATTTAATTAAGTATAAAGCAATTGTAACTACACAGAGGTACATTCAGCCCACTATGAAATGAATGACTTAAGATAGCACTCCAGTACAACAGCAGAACAGATAGGAAATCAGAGGAAAGGAAGGAGTCTATAATTCAATTACCGTCCTCAATTACACTCTTCTTAACTGTCTATTAGTTCTACAAATATCAGATTATCATTGCCATTATCAAATAATCTCAATTATTTCAGTATTTCTGTTGTATCAATTTCCTGTCTAAGATATACTATCCATTTTTGCCATTCTCCATAACATTCATCTAACACCATTTTCATGTGATGCATTAAACCTTCTGTTATTAGATATCTACAATTTACAGCAGATATAACCGACATTTTTGCAGGATTCTTTCTTGTTCTTATAACAGCCAAATTGAAGTAATTTAATTTTGCTGAATTTGAATCCTTTAAAAGGCTTATATAAATTTTTTTTCTTCCAGAATGATTTTTAGCATTTCATTTTCTCATATCACATGAATTAAGTCCTGGCTATTTTACGTGTTTTTACAGACTGTATGTATTATATATTTCATTATCTTAAAACATGGAAACAACCACTTCATTAACCAAAAGACACTGAAATTACGTTACCTAGTAATCTGAAGCCAAAATTACAATTTGCTTCATCCAACATTTCATTCTTTATACTTAAAGTCAGTGCTCCTTATCTTGATAGCTTTATGAGTTTTTCTCCTAAAAAAAGTCATGAAGACTTTTTGTCTAGGCCTGTTTTAATGGTTGAAACTTCATGACTAAGCACAGAACTCCAGATATACCTCAGATAAACTGAGATAAAAACCAATCAGCCAATATCTACATTTGACCCAAGCACACTTTTCAATTTTAATATTAGCTGCAGATGTTTGGTTTAAAGCACATTTTGCCTTGTAAAACCCTTTCACTCGCTCAGGAATATGAGTATGTTTTAAAAATATCAATGGGTCCATGGGCCAGACAACAAAAATTTGCTAGGATGCATTGCAGCAAGACGAAGCTCCCACCTAACAGGGGAATAAGAATTCTCTAAAACTCAGGATTCTGTAATATGGAAAAACATCTATTGGTGACATTTATTTAGATTAAATTAGTAAAGCAGTGTGGGATGCAGATGAAAAGCTCTACAGAAGAGAAGCAGAACCATTACTGCAGTGCTTTCCTACTTGGTTCAAATATGAAGGCTTCATTATTTTAATTTTATTTTGATGTAATCAAGATTTTTTTTTCAATTAAGAGTCAAGACATTTTTAGTAATAAATCTATATCAGTAATTATTCAATTATTTATAATTAACTGCTAATTAACAGTTGGAATTTTGAGGCATTGCATTAACCAGAAAACCAGAAATACTGCTAGAATGCCTGATAGATTATCTCCACAGAAGGAACACTTATGTATTGAGGCTTATTTTTGCTGCTTTATAGCATTTCTTAGTATCTCATAGCACCAGACACAGCATGCAAAAGGATATTCTGACCCTTTTCTTTTAATTGTTTTTGGAATTGAAATAATCATAAAATCAGGTGCTATTAAAAAATCAAGGAAAGCAACCAGTACAAGTGTTATTTATTCTCAGTTGTTAACTACATGTTATGAACAGTCTGTGAATTCTTTCCACACACTGTTGCAAAGAATTGTTGCATACTTCCTTTTTTAAAAAATAGCTTTTTTGGGTGATTCATTAATGCCTATGTATGTGAATTGAATCTGCCATTTTCAGTGCTAATTCATCATTTGTCTTTTAAAACCAAATTTCTGATTCAAGGTATTTCAATTCTAACCTGATTTCTCAATGAAAGTATCAACTGATACTTTTAACATTATTCAAGCTTTGTTAATATCTAATGCAAAACACATATATCCTTTAACATGTAATATAACTTTGTTGATATGTTCTGTGGGTTTGTTTTTTTGTTGGTTTTTTAAATTTCTTTTCAAAACACTAATTCCCTGATTTCCTTCATTACTCACTACCTTTTATAGTAATACTATCAAACAAGAGCAGTAAGGGACACATTTGCCTTGTACTTATCTGTAGTAGAACTACATTTCAAAATTCCCATAGATTATTTATTTTTCAAGTCTGAAAGTGATCCTCAGAGCCATGTTTTCTGAATAAAATAGCCATTTCCTGAAATTAAATGCATTTTCCTTTATCAACGACCAGAAAGACTTGTAAGAATACTGTAATTTTGGTCCTGAAGACACTTTTTCATTTTATAAAGACAGTCTGGTTCCGTGCTTGAGTGCAGCTACTACAATCTTTAACTTGGATGCCACTATTTTAGTTAGAACATCAAGGAAAAGAGCTCTGGCATGTCCTTAGTGTAGACATCAAAATCCCATCTATCTGTTAGATGGCTCTGCTACCTGGCAACATGGGGTATTGTCTTTGCCACATGGTAGATTTCATTTTCTTTTTCCTCTAGAGATGGGAGAAACTTCTATGAATTTATCCTTTTTTCTCCTTAATTTACCCCTCCTACTTCTTCAGCTTTAATAATTTCAGA